CCTTCTCCTCTGTCTGCCTCATGAGCAAGTCGCCAGAAGCTCTACTAGGGCTTCAACCCCAAATAAAAGCTGGCAGACTTGTTCTTCGATCCTTCCCCTTTCCCAGGGGCAGGATAGGGTCCCCCTTTCCTACAAGGGGACGGTGGGGTGTTCGCTGTCAGCTGCACCCTGCTGCAGGAGGGCCCCCCCTTCCTCGGGAGCCGCCTGCCAACATCTCCGCTTTGCCGCACGGGGTGGGACGAGTCTTCACATGCTCTGCCGGGACTTTTAACCACAGCGTTTCCTAACCCACAGCGTAAGAGGACACAGATTCTCACTTCCTTTCATCCCGGAGGACAGGCACTCCGAGCCGCGCACCGTTTAACGAGATCAGAACACCCGTGCGCGCTCGCAGCCGCGCACAGCCCCAGTCCCCTCCCAGGGGCAGTTACAGCGGCGAGCCGGGCAGGCTCTGCACAAAGCCACGGCTCGGGGCTAGCCGCCCTGGCGCGGGGACTCCTCCGAGCGGAGCTCCCCCGCGCCGCCCCCGCAGTCACCGCGTGCGGTCAGGCCGCGGTCACACGCCCGGCGCGGCGCTGCCGCAGGGCTGCAGGCAGGTGCAGGAGGGCGGAGCAGCCGCGGCACGAGAGGCCCCCGGACCCCCGTGAGCAACCGCTGCCACCCGCGGGGCCGCTCGACGCCACACACACGCGCCCCTTCCTCCTCGTTAAGCCTCGGCGGAGGCCTAACGCGCCAAGACCCAACGCGGAGCCCCGCGGGCGCCCGCGCAGGGTTAACGGCCCCGCTCCCTCCCCGGCCCCGCGACACCGGGACGGGAGGAAGGGGCAGGAGGAAGGAGAGCGGGAGAGGCGCCCGCCTCGGGGGAGGGCGGCGGGGAGCGAGCGCATCCCCCCGCCCCACGACCCCATCCGAGCGGCGTGAGCAACACGAAAAACACCTATGCATACATATATAATATACGTATACAGCGCTGTGTCTATATGGCCTCTCCTCCTCCCCCAGCCCCAGGCGCTTACACAAAGGACGAGCCTCGACTCCCTCCGCGCCCGCAGGAAGCTCCGCACTGCCGCAACCCCCCGCGCCGCCGCCCCTTTATAGCCGCCGTGTTCTCGCGAGACCGCCCGCCCGCCCGCCCGCGCGCGCGGCGGCGGCGCCGTGACTCGGCACATGGCGGCCGCGCCGCTTATCTGCGTGGGCCCGATAAGCGCGCGCCGAGCCGGCCGCTCCGCCCTGTTAACGGGGCATCCCGGCCAAGCAGGCGCATTTCTGCCTTTGTTTCATGTTTATGGCTTAATGGGACCAAGCCATGATTAGTTCGAAGTCAGTACCGTACCCCCCCCCCCCAAAAAAGGCAGAGGACACCCTTGATTTGGACAACATTAGGAGAAATGACTGATGTGCCGCCGAGCTGAGCTGGAGTTCTGCCACGGATGTTAATATCAACCAAATCAGAGCTATTAACAAAACAATGTGTGTGCACAGAGACTGTCCTATAGCAGGATCAGAACTCTATTGCCTCCCTCTTCAACCTGGTGCCGATTCCCAAGGTTTTCATTGACCCCATCGTGTAAAGCCTGGTGCACGACATGCAAGTCAGGGGTAAAGACTAACATTAAGCGTGATGTCTGCCCTTGGGTGCAGGATGAGAACTCCCCAAAGATGCCGGTACACAGCTCAGAGACCTTCATATCCCTCGTGCGCGGAGCGAAGCTGCTCCGAGACACGGCCGCACACTACATGGATCCAGGGCTGAACTGAAACAGACCTTGCGTTTTTGATTCAAGTAGAAAAAAAGGAATTTTAATATTAAAATTTTATTACGTATTTAGTGTTATTCAATGTTGCAGTATTCAGTGTTAGAGGCCATAAAGGACATACCAACAACCAAAGGGCTTGCTTTAGTCAAAAGTAATAAACTTTACCAACTGACTTTTACTCCTTGTGTGCTTCAGTTTAAAACCATGTTCCTTAATACCTGTTAAAACACCATTACGCATTGTAACCATAAAGGATTAATAAACCTTAAATGTTAACATCACCTGCACTGCAGTGTGGTGCTGCTCAGTAACCACCCTGCCGTGGTGATTCACCCAGGCTGGTTTCAATAACAGAAGAAATTACTGCTTTGCACATAAAAAGCAAGACAACATATATATATATATATTTAAAATAAATGAATTCACCTTAATGTAATCTCACTGCAACTCTAGCAGATTTACCAGTAGACAAAACAGCAGTGACTTTCTCGTGACTTTGGGCTCCTTCAGTACTAGCTATGCTCATTTCTCACACTTGCAGATGAGGAGTATAAATATTTTGCATTGCTAACGCAATGCTGTTTATTCCAGGTTTGTGCCTTAAGCGTTGTATTTCCATTCGTGTGTCCATGACCTCATTACTTTTGATTGGTTTCTGAGCTACTCTTTCCAAACATCTGTTTCTGGAGGCTTTGGCATGAGAAACTGTGGGAGCTGGTCCTCATTCAGAGTGCAGATAAGTTTCTGTAGCCTCTTTCAGTCTCTAGATAGAAGACACTATTTAGAAAACAAGCTGAAGCTCAAGAAAGAAAGGGCAGGCCCTTTGCAGGCACCAGGAGAACGGAGGTTTCTCTCTCTCCCTCCCTTCTCCACACATCCCTCTCTGCGGATTAGCCCTGGTGTCACACTCTGCTGAAGTAACTGCCAGGCAGGATCATCTTGTACCTGATTAGCCTGGAGCATCAGCAGACCAAGCTTAGGTCTCTTTGCACCCCTGCATACCCAGCATAAATAACGTATGGATAAAGAGATGAGTGCACTGGCCCACTGCGGTGCAACACTGAGACTGTCCTAGGGTGTTTGTACGGATAACCCAGACATATTTCACACGCATCATTTTGATGGCAGGATCTCCCTGGCACTTGGTTGGGGTGGATCGCTGATGTGCCGACGGCTGCACAGGCAAATGCAAAGGCACAGGTGCAGCTGAAGGGTGCTAACGTGGTTGGGTTTCCATGTGCTTTGCTGGGGCAGAATGTGAGGATTCTGGGTGTATCCAGGAGTAATACATACCTGATCAGAACAGCTGCTTGAACTGGGCTCGGGCTATTGGATACCTGGAAGAGGCTTTCTGGGCACACTGGGGTTATGGCACTGGCCATGCAGAGATGATCCCAGCACGCCCTCGAAATCCAGCTCACCTCTGTGAGCTTTGATCTCTGCACACGCAGAAAAGCTGCTGATTCCTGAACATGCTGCATTTACGTATATGTGCGCTACCATCAGGGGCACAGTAAGAATAAAATGCTGTCCACCTTTTGTGGAGAGTGGCGTGTAATACAAGCAAAAAGTCTAATGACTGAAATGTTCTCAAGCCCCTGGGCATACATGCATAAGCAACTGGTGCACACAAATTGCTTTAATGAAAACAATTACATATAATTAAATACACAAAGCACATACTTGCTTTTTCTTCTTTGATTCAAATGAAGACTGTAGTTCTACATCTAAATGTCTGTGTTACCTTTCCCTACATACCTGCTTTTTAATTAACAATTCTTATGGCTGTATGCTTGGATGATCACTATCTTTTGATGAAAAAATGGTTTTTCTCTTGTTTTCCTTCTCTCTTTTATTCCTTATGTATTACTGGAAGCTGAGGTTTGTTAAAGCTTTCATATTTAGCATTCCTATAATTCAAGCATCCTCTGCAGCATTTAAGACTGTTGTTTTTAAGCACTCTGTGGCTATCAACGCTTCCCTAAAAACAACCCAAGCTCTCTCCCCTTTATTCTTTCCTCCTCCACAGTTTTGTTTCTTCTGTTACTTTTTGTTGTCTTTCCCTTGCACTCTCCTCACCCCTTCCTGTATTTTACCTCAAAAGAAATGCACCACAGGCAAAATCTGCTCATGTGAATGCCCGAGAGCGTCATTAACCTTTGTACCTTTAAGTCTGTGGGGCGGTTTCAGCCAGCAGCAATAAAGGAATCTGCAGAAGCATGATCTTTCTGAAGGGAAATAAAATCCTGTTCCAAGCTCTCCTAGGTAGATATTTCACTTGCATTTCTGATAGGAGCTTATCATACTTTTCAGATTCTCAGAGTTTATAAATCACTTATAAGAATGGAGGCCCGGAGTAAAAGTCAAAAACGGCCGTAATCTTCTGTAGTCGGGGTTAAGTGTAGGTACAGAGTCCAGTCCACCGAGGGATTGTACATGGTTGGTACTAACAATTCCATATTAAATGCAATCCTTTCTGATCTAGCCAAACCCTACTTTCAACTTTCCTGCATTCCCATGCACCTGCAAGAAAGGTGCCATATCCTCCAACCTCCCGGGAACTACCGCTTCTTTTCCTTGATCGCACTTTTTARAAAAAAAAAAAAAAAAAAAAAGTGACAGCAAAACGAACACATCCAACATTGTGCGTTCCTGGATTCCAGATGTTTAGGGCTACACATTAAAACAGGAAATTTCTGTCTCCCTACCAGATAAAGTCCCAAATGCTGATGGTTATGGCCAGTTTGTCATTCCCTTTGGCTGCAGTGGATTTCTGGATGCTGTGAAGAGGAGAGGGAGCGCACTTGGACCTACCAGCTGGGAACCAAACAGGGAGCAAAGGGAAGACGAACGGAGCAAAGGCAGGGAAGGATCTGAAAGCAGAAGGGCTCCCTGTGCAGCATGGCTGCGGGTTCAGAGCAGGTGAGGAGGGGAAACCCTGGGAGGGGAAATCCTCCCTTCCAGAGAAACTCACACTGCTGCATCTAAAATAAATGTACATATATACATATACATATATATATATATGGGGGGGGGGCAGGGACTCCCTTGCATTCTAACCTGGTGGGCTGCTCTGCACGGTGCCAGCAGCCCCGGCCCCCCAGGCCGCTGCTGCCGCTGCGGCGGGCCCGGCCCGGCCCGGCCTGGCACGGCCCGGCCCGGCACCTCGCGCCCGGAAACGGAAGCGCCGCGCGGCGGCAGCGGGGCCAGCGTGTGCGGCAGCGCTCCCGGTCCCGGTCCCGGTCCCGATCCCGATCCCGGTGCGGCGGTGAGTGCGGCCGCGGGCGCCCGCGCCGCGAAGGGGGAGGCGGCGGCGGGCGGGAAAGGGAGCTGTTGTCATGGCTCTTCTTCTCTTCTCTTCTCTTCTCTTCTCTTCTCTTCTCTTCTCTTCTCTTCTCTTCTCTTCTCTTCTCTTCTCTTCTCTTCTCTTCTCTTCTCTTCNCTTCTCTTCTCTTCTCTTCTCTTCTCTTCTCTTCTCTTCTCTTCTCTTCTCTTCTCTTCTCTTCTCTTCTCTTCTCTTCTCTTCTCTTCTCTCCCGTTGCTTTGCATTAAAAATGAGCTGCAGCCATGGGTCGATAAGCGGCTGTGATTTCCCCTTCTCTCATTATTGCTGCTCCCTCCCCGCCAGGCCAGGCTGCCTGCACCGGCTTTTGCATCCCGCCGTGTGAGCGCGGGAGTGCCGAGTGTGCTTCATCCCAACCCGCCTTTTACTTGCCCAGAATTTGCTTGGTTTTACAGCTGGTTTTATTCTTACTGTTAAAGAAGGAATGAAAAAGTTACAAAAAAACCTTCCAATTTCTTAATGATCAAAGCAGTGATGATGACTGGACACCATTGTCTCCTTACGTCTTGTTAGGAGACAATTCTGACTGGAAAGTATTAATTAGTGGGTCACCCAGAGTTTCTGTTGTGAGCATTTCCATTCCTGCAGAGCCGCCTGTTCTGCAGTGTCCGCTGCGTTAATCTACAACAGCGTTAACGTGAAGGGAGAGGGTGCTTTGCAAGTGCACGGATGCAGTTACTGATTAAACACGTGCCCCTTGTCTTCGGGGCTGAAGGGCTGCGCTGCCCGTGGTTGTGTAACGTGGTTGTGCAAGGCGGTTGTGCGGCGTAAAGTTGTCTGGTTGTTGTTTGTGATACATTGAAGGTCTGGTGGTTGTTTGTGCCACGGGCCAAAGTGAATCAAGAAGCCACTAGTTACATTGCATGATGTGAGAAGATGCTTTTCTTTGGGTGGTAAAAGTATATGATCCTGCCTGCAAAACTGCTAGGCTGATTTAGGGAAGGTTGTTTCCAGTGTTGCATTCTGTTTCTCTGACTCCTCACCTCGAATAACCCCCGTGCTCCCACAATCTAATTAATTGGTGACTGCCTTCAGCACCAACTCAATGCATCTCAGTGCAGATCCACTACCATTAGTTAGTGTTTAACGACTCTGCACTGTGCCTTGGTAGAACAAGTGAGTGTTCATTGTCTGCACTGTGTAAATTGTGTAAAAAAACAGGCTCTGAGAGGCTGAAATTGAAAATACCAACTTGATCTGTCAGTAGGGACTACCTGTAGTTGGAAGCTGACCACCATGTGGTGAAGGCAGGGCTTTTTTGGGGTGGGACGTTCCTCCTCCACAGATGGTCTGATGGCATTGCCTGCTTCCACTCTTGTGAATGTTATCTGTTCGGAAAAAAATAAAAATAAAGCTAGTTTGGACATTGCTGAGCTTGGGAAACAACTTCCTCAGCTTCTGCTGAAATCAGCTACCCAGCTCTGGAGCACATGCTGAGGGTGGTTCTTCTGGAAAAATTTCACCAGAAAGATAAATTGTGAGGATGTTGGGGGACAACCTGTAAAACCTTCCTTTTTGATTATAAAGCTTCTCCCCTGTAAGCAGATTGCTTTTTGCAGCAGTTCCAACACCAGCAGCTGATAGCAGAGCAAAGCTTGCAGTAGGATCCTCTCTTAGGCTTTCATACAGGGAAAGCTCAGCTATCACAATATTAGGCATGACAGAGAAGCCTGTGATCAAAATGACTGTTTGCTTTGCTTCATTTTTTTTCCTTCTCCCTTCAGGATGCAACTGCTCTGTGAATCTGTATGAATCGGTGTATGAGTCTTCCCACAATGGCATAAGTTCTATCCTGTCTGTACTTGAAATGCATCTTGTGCAAGATGGAGGTCTAGTAGTAACTATCTGATAGAAGAGGAAGATTTAGCACTTTATTGGATGCCGAGTGCCAACAAATAAAGACCTTTTGCAGCCTTCTGCACCACTAAAGCTTGCAGCTGATTTCTTTAATTAAAAAGAAAAAAAAGTTTTAATCTGAGTTTCTGCATTAAGTGTATGTTATTGCACACTGCTTCGTGATACTCTTCTCAGCTCTGAGAAATCTTAAACCTGTGCATTGCAGAGGAGAACAGAGAGTAAGAGCAGAGACAAAAAAGCCCACTGTTCTAGTCTGTTCAGGTAGCTACTGACATCCTTGGCACCAAAGCTGTGGAGAACCTACTTTATTTTATTATAATGTAACAAGAAAAGCCTTATCAGGATCTTTAAGATTTTTCTTATATAGAAAAAAAGGGTTTTTTTTTCCAATGTACTAAATTGATGCAAACTTTTTTTTTTTTTTCCCTCTCTCTTGTTCTGTAGGCAAAAATGTCTGCAGCATGTGAATTCCTCACGCTCCACACTGGTCAGAAGATGCCTCTCATCGGATTGGGAACTTGGAAAAGTGACCCTGGCCAAGTAGGCAGAGAATGAACTATAAATCAGAACTGTCTGCTCTCACATTGCATTTGTATCTTGCAAATGTTTTTGAAGATGATTTGATTTTGAAATGTTTTGAAGATCCTAGATTTTTTTTTTTTATAATAATTTCCAGAATGTAAATAGACCTTGGTCCTGGATCCTTCACTTGAGTGGGTTTAATTTTAGGTTTGCTGGAGACAGTGGAGTTTATATATAAATCTGCACAACTGAGGTTTTAGGACACAAAACCAGAAGATCTCTCAGGACTTTTTAACCCAAGCTTTAGGCAACTGTGCTGCCGGAGGGCGGTTCAGAGTCCCATCAGTGGGATGAGGAGCTGAGGTCGGGAGAAACCTGTAGCTTTAGGGTGGTGCTTGACTATTCCACTGGCAAGACCCCAGGCTGCTGGTTTGACCAAGCGTCCATCTTGTTAGACTTAGTTGAGAGCCTTATTTTAGAAGGCAAGAACCCTCATTGATCTTGTAGTAAATCCTGTTGCAGTGGTCGGCCTATATGTAGCTTTTTTCTTAGTAAAACTAAGAACTCACTTAGGTCCTTTGCTGTTGGAGTAGGGAGGTTAATACTTCTAGATGATGCACTCTGCCTCCAAATGCAGTGTGCTGGCAAGCACCAGGCTTGGGAAGAATTCTGTGTGCTTTTGCAGACTGTAGGAACATCTGTGGGCTGTGCAGTACTTCTCTCCCTTGTCCGTCTTCTTCTTTCTGTCTCATTTAGTTAAATGATAAATTCATGAGGGCAGAGACTGCCTTTCCCAGTGATTATGCGCAATGCCCAGCAGAAAGAGTGTCCTCTTGCTTGGTGGAAATCTCAGCTGGTATTGTTGATTTAACATCTTTCAGACTTATATGTCTACCATTGCATGTCCATACTGTAAGCATTGGGTGTTTTGCTGCTACTCTTAGCTTCATGATGGTTTGATTTGAAACAATAGGATAATAAAATTGTGCTTGAGACTTTGAGAGGGAGAGAGTGAGTTAAAATACTTCTCCGGAGGACCCACTGCATGGCTCTTTCATGCCAGCTGGAGGGAAAAGGGGGGAAATACTATAAAAATTCACCTATTCAGAGCCATGTTACTGTTGATCTTCCTCTCCAAACAACTGTCAGAACAGGAGATCTGTTGGGAATAGTGTACTGATGTGGAAGCTGGGTTGGTATGAGAGATCAGTCAACCTCTTAAACGAGGACAAGGATGAATGCTGAGCTCTGTCACTTAACACAACAACTGCCAGCAGAATTAGGTTTATTAACATGCTGGAATTTAATGGATGAATTCATGTAGACTCAAAGCTTTTTTTGTGTGTCTGTATTCCACTAAAGCATATGCCTGGGACTGAACAAACAAAATATTATTGAATTTTTTATTTTATTCCCTATTTGTTCCGTGAGAAGTGCAGTCTTGTAAAATAACAGGAAAGATCCTTCTTGTGCATAATTTAAGACTATTCCAAGTGGATTTTGCCAAAGTAGGTAGGATTTCTAACACCTAAATCTGGAATGGTGTCTGCTACCACAGATCCCATTAGGATCCCATTGGGAGCTACTTTTCTAGAATGCCTACTGTTTTCAAATAAGTTTTCCTAGCTTACAGTAAAAACATGGTCATGAGAGTACAGTGAAAAGGGCCAGAGTTACAGAAGTTGCTGCTGGTCTTATGGATGCTTTATCATTCTTCAAAATTGTGTGCATCTGTCCTTCAGATTCAGAAGTGCAGCTGTGGCTTGGCAGAGCACACAAATGGCTCCCTTAAGTCATGGCACAGTTCAGGAGAATCGTTATGAATTGAAGACCAGAAGAGTAGTTCTACTAAAGGCCAAAGACCTAGAGATGCAGAGGAATAATTGCTGCTTCTCAACTAGAGGCTATTTATCAAAAGCTGTTTTGTACAAGGGCTACATTAGAAGCATGATATAGGAAATAGATGGCTTTTAAATTACTTCAGGTAAATATTTTTTTGGATGCAATTGTCATTTTCCTTGCCAAGCTGTTTTCCTCTCTTAACCTTTCTCTGTTTGTAATTTTTATTACCATTCCTGTTCTGAATTCTTAACAAGACAGGACTTAGTAGTTCAGTAAAGTTGTATCATTGCAGCCCTGGTTTCTTAAGACTGATAATGTAGAAGGTAAGGTTAGGGAGAAAAACTGTTAGAATCTAAATCCACCTTGGAAGGCTAATTTAAAATAATACATTCTTTCTCCCTTGTATCTAGCATGATAAAATGCTAGAAGAGAAATTGTTCTACATGTTACCATAGGAACATGACAGAGGGCTTTGGAGTGGAAATCAATATGTGCAAAAGCTTGTGAATTGGCAGTAGAAAGGGGTTCAAAGAGAAGAGTAGTATCAAGAATAACATCAACTTCATTATTATGGTTATTATTATTGGATCTTGATTACCTGTACTCTTTGGATGTTGTATTCACTGTTCTCTCAAGGGGCCATGCTTCTGACCTGGAGTATCAATTCCCACTGGACAAGTGCAACCTGTTGTGGCAGGGGCGAGTTCTGTGGGGAGCGACGCGGGGCTGAGGGACGTTGTTGAGGGACGTTATTGAATTTCAGGGCTAAGCTTCAGGAAAGCTGGAAGAGGAAGCGTGTGTCTCATAAAACCGGTTGGACAGGATGGTTTATAGTAGGGTTGCAACTACATCCTTGAAATTCTGTTGGAAAATCTGGAGCATCTCAGTCATGCAAGCAAGCATTCACTACAATAATGCTATTAAGGGAAGAACTTGGATTAAACCTGAATAGGAGACAAAACTGAGGGTTTTAGGGTACATCGAGTATAAGTTATTATGTGGTGTCCTGAACTCCTTGTTTTGCAGCAAGCAAAGCAAGAAGAGTTGGTAGGAACTGCAATACAGTGGTGCATATATTCTGGTCATGCCACATGTGAATGAATATCATGTGGCCAGCCTCATGATCTGTTTTTCCTATTTCCCATGAGCAAATATACTTAGGCTGCCAGACTGTGATGGCCTCCCCTGCCTGGAAGGGAGACTGGCAAAGCTTCATGCTGGAGTTTTGTTTTTTTATGAAATATTCTTGACTTGTTGCTGAGTGGTGTCATGGCAAGGTTTTGGAGAGCCTCTTTATAATGGCTTGGGGCAGTACAGAAGATGCTCCTGGGATAGCTGGGCTCTGTGGTGCTTGGGAGTATGACAACTTGTTAATTTTTCCCATTGTGATGGGCAAATTGAGGACCTGTAAATCTGTTAATGGATATGGTCATGCCCTGGGACTTAAGGGCTCTGTTGCTAAATCTGCCACTGACAATGGCAGGTTTAGAGGATCCATGTTCCTCCACTTTAAAAAACAAAGGGGGAGTGAGAAGGCAGACTCTTTAGGAAGCTGCATAAGTAGGAGTCTAGTTCAAAAACTTTGCTACAGCGGAGGAAAATAAGGCTTCAGCTGTGATACGGTGTCCATCTGGGAGCAAACCAGAAGCTGGCCAGAATGATGCAAGGGGCTGAGAAAGGTGACTTCTGCTGAAAGCTGGAAGCACCTACAGTCATTAGGCAAGAGCAGCCTCAAGGGAGGCCTGCTAACAGTTTTCAAATGTGATTAGCCTTTGCAAAGGGTAAGCCAATTAATTGGCTTAAAGGAAGCAGATGAGATACCAGGGCCTTGTATCTTGGTTGGCCGTCCATAAAATTTTGAACACAAAGATAGCTAAGCATTGGCCCAGACTGCCTATCATTTATAAAAATAGTTTTGACAAATGTTTGTGGGACTTTGTAGGCCCCACTGTAGGGCGTAAGAGCAGACTAGATGATTTCTCAAGATCCTTTCAGAGCTACTTTCTGTATTTACATGTTCACAAGTGAATTACTTAAGCTGTCTGACTCAGCTTGCCCAGTGCGAATTGAATTTAGTATTTGTTCCTTCCCTGACAGTACTGAGAGACAACGTTAAAAGACATATAGATGTTTTGAAAGATCCCTTAGTTATTACTGTTACTTCAGTGCACCAGGTATTTAGGGGCATTTGAAACTCCAACTTCTTCCCTTGGGCTTCCTGCCTGAACTTAATTTCAAAAATATAAAACTTTCTATTAAAACAAAATACTTCGTATGCTCACATTAACATTTATCTGTTATTAGATTTTATTTCACCTCCAATATATACTAATTTGCACATCTACCCTTGACTGTTTTCCTTTTGCATGGAGCTCTTAGTTCAATCTAGAATATTTTAGTGGGCTGAGAACAGTTGACAAGAGTAAAAATTTGCCAAAATTCTGAGGCCAGATTAAATGATCAGTCCCAGTTGCTCAGGGTTAGGAATTTATTTAAACACACCAATAAAGAAAGATGGCCTCCTGTTTATCACCTTGCAGAGACACGTTTGGAGTGACATACTCTTGTTTTTCTGTAAGCAGTGCCACTTCATTTTTTATGGCAAGTTCTGTGTTTGTTTGAATAAGAGTTAGGTAAAAATATTTTAGGCTAATAAAATGCTACAGATGAATCATACACTGGTTTTCCTTTCCAAAAAGTCCTTAACATGTCCACTTTTTTTTCTGAAAGTATATCTGGAACTTTTATTTTTCTCTATTGGAGCATATGCTTTTTACCTTCTTAGACTGTGGATATTCACCATAAAATATTCACCTTTTAACATGTCTCAAGTTACGCTTAATGTGTCTCAGTTACTATGACCTTGATTTCATAGTGACCGCAGGAGAAATGCCTTTGTCATAGTAAAGTCAGGATTGTACAAACCATCCTGCTGAAGCCAGGAAGAACTTCCTCCACTGCTCTGCTAAAAGTGCTTTGTCATTCTGGCTAAGGAGAACTGGTTAGAGTCCACGTTTCCTCTCAAAATGCCAAAGAATGCAGTCAGAATATCCTGTGTCTGCTCTTATGCAGTTCTCGGAAAGAAAAAGAAATAATCTCACCAGAAAAGAAATTTGATTTCTCCCTCTTTTTTTGGGGGGACAGGGGGGAGGTATTATCTGAAAACTAGACTGTTTAATTGGAATTAATTATTTTTCTAGCTTTAAAATTGAATGTGTAGGTGCTTTGAGGAGTAAGTTGAAAAAATCAATCTCTTAAGTAGTGTCTCTAATCTGTGTGGACACTTTTATTCCTCATCAAGACTAATCTGTGTATCAAGCCTCTCTCACAGAGCAGTGTACAATCTCCCACAGACTGCAGAGATAAGCTGGTAAGGAGCAGTAAACAGAAATCACTACAGATAAGATGTACTCGTACTATAGTACAGAGGAGATGAGCAGATTTTAGAGAACATTTGCTCACTGCCCACTGGAAACTAAATATATATGTTTTTACATCCTTGGTCCATAGACTTGCAACGTATCTGAGGTCCACGTGCAAATGCATGTCGGGTTGAGCACTTGTGCTTCCTCAGAGTGTTCAGAAGCAGCAACTGAAGCACAGTGGGTTCCTTCCCAGCCATTCTGGTCTGCAGGCAACAGTGCAGAGCAAGCGGGGCACTGTCAGCAGCGCCTTCCCCGCCAGGCACAGGGACAGCCAGATGCAGAACCGTGAGCATCAGCGGCAGCTCCCATGTCGCCTGCAGCCGTGGGTATCCAGCAGGATAGTGGCTTTCCCTGGTGTGCAGGCAGTGAGGAGATATGAAGAAAAATGTGCCATAAAGTCACTTCATATCTTAGAAATAAGGTGTGAGCAGTTGAATCAAACCTGCAGTCTGGTTCCTCTGAAGCCTGACTTCCTCTGCTGGGAGAAAGGCTCTTCCTTCCTGGCTTGGCTGACTTTGACTGTGGCCAGTTAGTTTGCCTCCTTAAAGCATGATTTATTTGAAAAATGCTTCTTAGAACTCATTTGATACTTGAGGAGAATGTGACGACAATATTTAAGAATTAATCCCTTTACTGTCTAATGAGTTCTTGCATGCTTGGCCTGAGTGCATGACCTGTTTTCTTGTTTCCCTTGGAGTATCTGCTAGTGCCTAGCTCTTCACTCATAAGCACTGTGCTACAGAGGACTGCATCCTCCTCAGTCGGGGTGCCTGTGAAACAGCATGATCTTATTATATCTTATAGTAGCTCTGTTTTATGATTTAAGGGTGGGTTTTTATTTATTTATTTCTTCTCACCTGCATTGAGTCCTTAACAGCTTTTTCTGCTTCCCAGTCATTCGTTCTCTTTTCACTGACTGTGTTGGGTAACCTGCTCCTGATTGCAGGTGAAAGAAGCGGTGAAACATGCCCTGAGCGTGGGTTATCGCCACATTGACTGTGCCGCCGCTTACGGCAATGAGACGGAGATAGGGGAGGCTTTCCAGGAATGCATCGGGCCCAACAAGGTAAAAGAACACAAAAAGCACCACCCTGACCACACACTTTATCAAAATTGATAGCTGCAACCTGGAAACAGACTATAAGGTTAGCATTTGTGGGCTTTTTCTCAGTCAGTCTCAGCTGCTTGGTTTTACTTATTGGGAAGAATCTCAAATTTGGCCCCTCGCTTTTGTTCATAAAAGAAGTCGGCAACCTTACACATATAGTTCCTGTGAAATAAATCCTTCTTGTCATTGCTTTCCTTTTTTCTTTCCTGTGCTTTAAGGGAATCTCTTTGTTATGTGATGAGCTACAGAGAGGCTGTTTTCAGCTTGCTCCAGGACTTCCTTCCCACTGCACAGAAGGATAGGATTCCTATGCAGGAAAGCACAGGATTTTGTTTTCAAATCATAAATTGCAAAATTTGCTTAAGAATAAACTGAACAGTCTTTTTCTCTTGATCACATAGTGCTTAGTAATGTCCTTTACCCTCGACTTGTAGAGTTTGGAGAAATATGTGTATGTTTCTTTTTTTGTTTGCTTGTTTGTTTTGTGAAACTTGTAGTAATTTGGGAAAAGCATTAGGTATGCCTTAGGACTTGTTAATGCAAACATATAGTTTTTGTTTCCAGTAATCCAGTATATTTTTTCAAAGCTTAATTTGTGGGTTATGTTTTTTTTTTTAATTGTTTGATTTGCTTTAAAGCTAACTAAGGCATTGCTGCAGTTCTTTTCCTGACCTTGTTCCAGTAAATTGCACCCTCTTCCCTTTCTCGAAGGTTATGAAAAGAGAGGACCTATTTGTAACATCAAAGCTCTGGAATACGAAGCACCACCCTGAAGATGTGGAGCCAGCATTAAGGAAAACCCTCGGGGATTTGAAGCTGGCTTACCTGGACCTGTACCTCATGCACTGGCCTTTTGCCTTTGAGTAAGTTCACCCCAGAAACAGCACAGAATTAGAAAACAAAACAAAATCCCCAATTTTACATTTACATCTTTCTGAGCTGGGTATTTCTTCCTGTAGATACTGCCTGCAATTTGTCTTTAGGTGTAGCTAACAGCATAATCCTATGGAGTGTTGTATAAGATCCGTCTCTCTACTTTTCCATCATCTGTGCATTTATTCATTTTGGATGAATTCACATTCACAGAGGCAACTGTTCCCATCTTATTTCTGTTGTTCATTTTTGAATTGGGTTAATATTAGATTTGTTGCTAGTCTGAAAATACGGTGGAGAGGATAGATTTCTGTTACTGTACAGAGAGACTCTAAATAGAAAAGGAATAATTGTTCTCCATACTTAGCAATTAGGAGTCCACAAAAATGAGTTTTAAGTTTCTGTTTAAAATCCTTAAGCTGTTATTAAAAATTGCATTTCACAGTGAGAAAACTAGGCACTGGCAATACGGTCACTAAATGACTGTCAGTTTGGCACAGGTGCCAAAGCTGAGTGACCAAAAGTAGTCCAACTGTGCATAAGTAATTAAGTTTTATGGAACATTATTCTCCATCACTGACAGGAGCGAAGTTTATTTTCTTGTAACTGTGAAAGCAGTAATATTTTATTATATATTCTTAAATATAATTCATATATATATATATATATAAGTTTAAAAAAAAAGAACTCTGCCTCCCAGGCTGTTTGCAGGGAGAACTTCACTCAGTTGGGCTGTCCCTGTCAGACTCAAAGGAGCTTCAGTCTTTTTTTTTTTAATTTCTAGGACAAAGTTGTTTCCAGTCATCAAGTGAACTGGATTTTGCAATGTGTACCACAGCAGTGACAGGGGGAAAAACCTCTATAATCCCAAACGTATCCCTCAGCGTAACAGAATGAGGAAGTGTTTTAAACTAAAGCTGGTTTGCAGGAAGAATGTCTGTTTAAAAATTACCGGGTTTTGAAATAGGGTGTTTTCAGTCAATTCAAAACCTTCAAACCACTGTTTGTTCAGGTGATAACATCTTGTAATATAAATAATCGTGTGTATTTAGTTGCTCTACATAAAAATTACTTCAATGGCTCATGGAAATGAAACAAAAAAGGTTGACAAGGCTGGTATTTTCATAGTGCAGTTTCACATTTTCTCATTCAAAAGCATTCACTCTGTTTTCCATTAGCTCTGCTTCAGTCTACATCAGTGCCTGACTGACTGTAAAACCTGCTCTATGGGGAAGCTGAGCCAAAGAACAGGAATTTTAAACAGAGCTTCCTATTAAGATCACGATGCCTCTAGGTCTAGAAAAGTAACCTTAGTGGTTCCAAAGCAGAGCTCTCCCAGCAGAGAGTGGCTCCTCTCCAAGGACAGATTGCTCAGAGAGCAGTCACAGCCCTTTCTCAGTGCACTGCTGTTGCACCTGGCAAATCCAAGCTCTTTGTTGTTTTTATGGGCTGCTGTAACTAAGTGGAAACACACCTACCCTGCGGGCAGTGTGACAAGCCAAGACTTCTGTGGGAATCTGCACTGGAGTCCAGTGCTGACACAGTCCACAGGGAATGGGAAAGTCAGACCTGCACAGGTCGTTTCTCCTTGGTAGTCCTTAAACCAACATGCTGTTGGTAGCAGCTTCCAATAGACTGTGACTATCAGCTCTCCACAAAAACAAACTGAAGAGCAAAAGCTGCTCTGAGTTGGTCCTGTCTAAATCAGCTGTTTTGCTAAGATCAAAGTGTGTGACGAGCTGCTGCTTGTATACAGTGACTGATGGGTGTTAGGGAGTCACTGCCCTATACGTAAGTACTTCTGACAACTCTAACAAGTTTAAATAGGCAGAACAGTGTCTAAACCAATTTCCTGTAAGTTTAGTCAGCACCCTGGCATTCAAAGGAAAAGTCTGCTCATTTGTTATGCTACCTTGCAAACCCTATAGACCTGTAAGAATATTTTGAAGTGGTTTTTTGTTTGTTGATTGATTTATATATTTTTAGTGATCGATGAATAAAACAGAAATCATCATGCAATATGCACCTACACTTTTTCTTTGATGCTGTAGACGAGGGAACAATCTCTTCCCAAAGAATGCCGACGGCACGATGCGCTATGATTATACTGATTACAAGGATACCTGGAAGGCTATGGAGAAGCTGGTAGAAAAAGGTCTCGTGAAAGCCATAGGGCTGTCAAACTTCAACAGCCGTCAGATCGATGATGTTCTCAGCGTGGCCACTGTCAAACCAGCTGTGCTGCAGGTAAGGGGACTGAAGGAGAGGAGGGCTGCCTTTCTCCTTGCACTGGGCAGCTTTGAGTGTACAAGTGCAGCCGCCTCTGCAACGAGCAGGCATGGCCAGTTGGACCCATTCCTTGGGCAGAAGGTCTATATCCGTGTCCTGTGGCCTTTTATGCCTGCTTAGTTGAACAGAAGAGTTTGTGGCCTTCCATGGGAGGAATGATTAGAGATTTAGTCTGGAAGAGAAGAATGAAAGTGACCAACAACTCCGTCCTCCAGAAAACTTCCTTGCTTGTTGGATCTATCAGATACCCGGCACTCTAAAAACTTACTAGAGTTATCCTGCTTTTGCTATAGTCTTAGCCTCCAAGAGAGTTTTTCACTCTCTGTTTGCTAAGTTGGAGACTCATAAGGTTTTTTAGAAACTGGAATGAACTGCTCTGCTGACTGATGCTCATGCCTTTGAGCTCCAGTTTAGAGCTTTGTGCTGATACCTTCTTGCCAGGCACTTACTGTGGGTTGCTTTGACAGGTGGAATGTCACCCCTATCTAGCCCAGAATGAGCTGATAGCTCACTGCCAAAAACGAGGCCTCGCTGTCACTGCCTACAGTCCACTTGGCTCTCCCGATCGAATGTGGAAACATCCAGATGAGCCTGTGCTTCTAGAAGAACCTGGGATCAAAAAACTGGCAGAAAAATACAGCAAGTCACCCGCCCAGGTCATCCTCAGGTATCCTCAGTTGAGAGAGGGTGGAATTTGGCCTAGCCTTAATAAAGAAAACACAGGATAGATAGCATGGAGCTGCTTGTGGTACCTACTTTTTCCTCACTGTTGGTGCTGAGGTAGAATCTCAGCACCAAAAGCAACCTTCGTGCAGTGCTTATTCTGCAGAGTTGGTGGAGTAGATCCTGCCTTAGGGCAGGGAGATGGGAGTAAATTAAAGGGATCCATTCCTGGGACTCACTACCTTTTCCGTTGGGGAATTACAGTGGGACAGGAGTGAGGCAGCAAGCAGTGCACCACGTTTGGTCCGTCCTGCTGTATTTGCATGGGACTGGCTGCTTCAGCTTCTGAGCTCTTGCAGCTCTATTCAAATGGGCTTTCAGGAAGAGTGTCTGAAAAAGGTCCCTGCACTGAATGACTGTTTAGTGTTTTGTTTTAATATTACATGTACATAGCTGCTGGATTCTGGGAAACAAGATGGTTCAGTGATATCCAGAAAGTTATCAGCTTCTTGTAAACTTGAACTGGATCTCAGTCCTCATTTTTTTGTGCAGCTCTGTATCTGTCAGTATCACTAGCACAACCCTGGGGCAGCAGTAAGGTACACTGTCAGTGGACCAGGTTTAAGACTTTGTGCTTAAACCAATAAACAGGCAGTTGAGGAATTTGAGGAATTTAAGTTTTCTTCTAGTCTCTCAGCAGTTGTCACACTAGAACTCAACAAAACGCTTCAGTCCATTTTTCTGACTATTCCTTAGTTTTATGGCTTAAAGCACCTGAAATTTACTTGCTTATTTGAAGGAACAGAACACATTCTTCTCATTCATTAGTTCACTGACCACTGTTTTGCTAAAAACATAAATGGCATCTCTGCTGCCACAGCTGTCTGTTCTACTGAAACAGATGTCAGGGTTGCTGGCTGCACACACAGAAGGTCTGTCTTTCTTCCCAGGTGGCAAGTGCAGCGCAAAGTTGCTGCCATTCCCAAGAGCGTCACCCCCGCTCGCATTCTGCAGAACCTCCAGGTAAGCAACTTGATTCCCTTTGCTATAAAGCAGCAATTTAGATGAAAGACAAGAGATTCAGCAGTGCTCTTTTGTATGAATAACATAGTGCTTAACACCTGCATAACAACCTGAGGCAGTTGGCCCGTGCTTGTTCCTAAGTGCATGCACTTAGGAGGGAAAGATATTTAGTTACAAACTAGTTAAGTTCCAAGCAATTAGTGCCTGTGTGCACGTGTGCAGGCATCAACAGTCTTCTTTTGTTGCCAGAAGTCTTAACTGAAAAATCTTTATCACAATCTTTACTGATATTTGAGAGTTTAAAATTGCATTAAAGACTTCCTTGGTCAGTGGTTCTTATTTACAAATAACGGGTTTGCTCTGAGGACTGGTGACTTTCTGCAGCAAACTGCCATTCTAATGCTGCTGAAGGTATAGGATTAGTGTGATCCATTTCTACTCTAAAATCAATTCATTTTACTTAAGCAATTGCTTGAAAACTCTAACTGTCAATAATTTGGAGGGAAGTCTCTGAATCCCCCCTTGTGATCTTTATTAAGTCCCTAGTCATACAGGTCGGTCAGTTACATATATGTTTTTAAGTTAGGATTTGTTTGTGCAACTGTTACTCCTGCTAAACCAAATTCTGCCATGTAGCTTGCTGCTAAAATTTCTGAAAAGTGCCAGCAAATGCAGGGCAGCCTTTTAGTCTAGGCTTAAATTTAAATTTACAAAGCAGCAGAATATTGATGTCAAAAGGCAGCACTTCCTGAGTAAGGATTTCTACCTTTGTGGAAGAGCGCTGGGCAGTATCAGTGAAGGCTTTAGAACTGGCCCGTGAATGCAGACCTTTGTTTTACTGTTGTTATAAAATGGATTAAAGTACAACTGCATATTTATAAACCTTTGAGAAGATGAAACCTTTCCTGGAGCCAAGATTTTTAAAGATAGATACATAACTCCGCTGCTTGGAATTGCATGGAAATTCCCTCTATTTGAACACTGCAGCTCCTGAAGATATTTAAAACGTTATAACAAGTAGCTTCATGTTTAGTTTGCTTTTATTTGGGTTTTAACACTAGGATTTAGCAGCTCTGAAACAGCTTTTCTTTTTGAAAGCCTGGAGAGTTAGTATGCAACTATGACAATAAATTATTCTGGTTTCTTTTGTGAGCCTGTGTGTTTGCATCAGTTACAATAGTGTCATCGCAGGGTTACCTAAAATGAAATGCTGAAATAGTCACATCTCAAGTCACTGCTGATGCTTTCATTCTGTCATGGTTTACTGAGACCAGCCTTTAAGTCAACCCTACCTGTGGATCTATGGAGAAATACAGGGCACAAGGAGATGAACATAAACAAAGCCAAGAGGCAAAATGCAGCAGAAACTGAATATGAAAAACTTATGATTATTAAATGAAGACTTGTGTTTGTTTCCCTTTCCATAGGTTTTTGATTTCAGTCTCACAGAAGAAGAGATGAGCCACATCGGGAGCCTGAATAAAAACTGGCGTTACATCGTGCCGATGGTTACGGTAAGTTTCTCTCGTGTTTCTAACGGGTTTTAATTACATGCATTTGGCCACAACTTGGAGTTTCTGCAGTTTTCTTTTTTCCTTTTGTTATCTGGTATCAGAACTACTTGTAAGTAAGAGTCCTACAAATTTTTAGGCTATGCAAGCTGGAAGAAGTGTTCAAACTAAAAAAAAAAAATACCCTAGAAGCTGTCATTTTCTGTATCTATTTCCCTTCTCAATTTTTTAATGAAAAGTTCAAGTGCAACTAGTTCCCCATGAGAGGGAATTTGTCCCCTCAATTGGATGTACCTGTTTCACCATTCTTGTCAAAAGTCTTCCTCTAAATTATGGTGTTTGGCTTTGACTGTGTAACTTTGCTTTCTGCATCCTTTAGCAGCAGTATCCCTTAGCATCATCACCATTTCCTCTCTCACCCAAACCCTCACTCCACGTGCTATCAGCCATGTCAGTGCCTTTTTAGCGTCCAAGACCTTTTGTTATTTCTTCTCTGACATTTAAGAACCAGCCTCTTTTCTTTTCTCCTCCTTACAGAAATCTTCCTTTTTGTTTCCTGCCTTTATACTTGTGCTCATCATTTCTTAGGCATGTATTGTCCCATTTCTACCCATACAGAAGTGGTTATTGCCACTCCCTGAGGTGTCACTGGGCAAAAAATGTCCTATAATCTTTAGTGATTTGTCCCTGCCCTAGGATACAGTGCACTGCAGATGTTTGTGCAAATTTGGAATTTGAGAGCCCTTGGCTCTCAAGCAGCATGTCTGCCTTGCTGGACATCCCCCTGGGTTAGTCAGGCAGGGTTCCTGGCTCTGGGAGTCCTTTGGAATAGGCATTTCTCCAGAATTTATCAGCATGTTTTTGGAGTGCTCGAGAGCATATCAACAACGGGCACACCAGTTTGAAAAGAGAAGCTATAAATGTGTGTGGAACGATTCTCTTCATGCGAGGATAGATACCTGTTTTCACTCTTCACTGGTTAACAAAACCTTCAGGGCCCAGAAGCAACCATGTAGGGCAGCTTCAATACGTGTACATAGAGATACCCTCCTCTTCTCCCCATCCCTGCAACCAAAAGTCCTTGTGCCTGTGGACTGGGTCTGTACCCCACACTGCTATGTAGCTGTGCACACATGTGAGTGTGGGGGGAACAAGCACATCTGGTGTAGACAGCACAGGTTTTTCAAGCGTTTTGCTAGTCATGCTGCCAGCAAAGTTGCTTTGTAAATGAAGCTGCAAAATGCATTTTAAAATGTAAGCTGGGCTTGGACTAGCCAGGGATAATTCATGTACTTTTGTTTCCTGGGAGACTTTATCAGCTCTCAGTGATTCACAAAGAGGAGATGAAATACAGTTCAAAGTGTTGGTCCATCCACATGGAAAAAGGGTGAATGTAATACAGCTGGGCTTCAAAGATATTGCCATATGGTCAGATAACAAGACAGGAAAAAAAAAGGCAAGATGAAGAGAATTAAAATGCGAGTCTGTAGCTCTAAGATCTCTACTAGAACCTCGTCTCCTGCCTGCCCCTCTGGGCTTATCAGAAAGGATTTTCATCACGTCTGAAATAAAATTAAAATTCCTGTCTAACCTTTTATGGTCATCTCCTCTGTGAGTCTAATTTACAGTGTCTGAATTTCAAAGTGCGTTATGACAGTGACGTTGGAGCCCCTGCTATCATAACTGACAAGACAATAGCTTTTGCTTGCTTAACCACATTGACATATAAACACAGGGTCTTACAGATGTGCCATTTTTTGAGGTTATATTTGCATGTAGGTGCTTAAATAATGTTGCTGGGCATTTGAAAAGATCCTCATTTGGACAGAGATTGATAACTGTTTAGCCATACCTGATAGCAGCCTGAAACCCAAGCTTCTGGAAACACATAGCAGGCCAAGGAATGTTTTTAAGCAGAACTTGAATAACCAGCAAGCAAGGGAGGAGGAGTGATGATGTTCTTGTGCACAGGATGACCTGTGTGTTTTTGTTAGGTACTGCTGATCTATAGTGTGTTCATTGGGGCGTTGTTTTTTCCCCTTGCCTCTTCCTTCCAGATTCTGTGGTAGATTGAAAACAGCCATGTGCAACATCCCCTCTGGCAGCTGCTGTTCTGGCACGCTGCTAACAAGAGTGTTCGCTTGAAGAGCTGCTCTGTATAGTGGAATATGGGGGGAAGAAATGGGCAAAAATGGGAAATATAAATTCTAAGAATATGAGGGAGTTGATGGCTTTCAGTAGAGTATAAGAAAACCTGAGGATACCGTGACCATTTTGTCCACAAAGTTTTACTATTGGCAGTTTCTTGTCAGTTGATAGTTATTATTTTGAGTGTCACTAAATAACTAATTAAACTAAACTAAATTAAAACTTACCGTCTTAGTTTTCTGCTCTGTAGTGCCCCCAAGTGCCTAATTTCATGGTGCAGCCTGTTGCTCTAGGGAGGTGTGTTTGTTTCCTCACTCATGGCACACTTCAGTTCCTTCAAATGTACGGCCTAGCAGCAAGGTTTTACCCCAGCTCCCAGTAAGTGGGAGTGTTGCCTAAGACTGAGTTCATCTCGGATGGCAGCCTGTGCATCCAGATGGTGAAAAACAGGCTGTAGGACCTTGGACTTCTGTTTGAGGAGCCCTGCTTTTGGGCCAGCCTGAGCCTCTGCTTCCTTACTCTGAATATTAGTTTTCAGAATTCCCATTTCACAACCGGAGAAGCTGGTCTACCTTGGAAATACTCCAATTCCTCATGCCTCAGCAGCTGGAAGAAAGCCTGGCTTGAGGCTACAGAAAACTTCCATTTTTTTTTGTCTATTTTTCAAGAACTGCTAAAAGGACTCAGAGGAGAGGGAGTAGCTCTTGCTAAAGCGAAAAAGATGCTTGGACATGTTTGTGAAGAATTTGAAATAGTGCATGGTTTAGATTTGTAACTAAGAACGAGAGGGTTTATTTATTTATTTTAAGTTTACTGACTTGAGTTTGTCTGTTTGCTTCACAGGTGAATGGAAAGCTAGTAGCAAGAGACGCTGGACACCCCCATTACCCCTTCAGTGACCCCTATTAACTACTAGAAAATCAGGTGTTAGAACAACATGCTCCTCTGCATGCTTTTCCACAAGTAATTCTTGCTATAGTTTATCAAAAAGCCTTTCCAAATAAAACCTTCCTCTGTGAATAGGAGGCCTGAGAAGGTTTTATTTTTAATTGTTTTTAACTGACCTCCTTTCTGCAGATACTGTAGCTTCCACGTCAGAGTTTGTGGGATTTTGTTAAAATGACTGCAAACTTGCTCCTGGAAGTGTCAAATGTTTGGGGGATTGGATAAGATTGGGGGAGTCAAAATCAAGCTCCAAACACTTCATAATGAGGCTGGGGGGTTAGTTTGGATTTACTGCCTGTAAAATTAGGTTATTATATGCAGGGGGAAACAACAAAACAAAAAAGGAAAAATAGAGCGCAGAGGCAGTTGGTATAAAAACATTTTTCAGCTAAATAACCGCTCAGTAATTTTGATATCCTTAGTAGTGTTTTTACACAGGGAACAAAGAGAAAGTGCTGTGGCTGCACTATGCAAAAAGTACTTTATCACAGCCCAAATAAGCAGCCACGTCCAGTGCATTTTGCTCCCTTTAGAGTACTCGTGTGACTTAAGATCTCCATTTTCTTTTTCTTTTAATGTTTAGATTGATTTGGAGGAAAATACATATCCTGGAGCAGGCCTTCAGGGCACTCCTCTCTGTTGCTCGTGTTACAGATTGGTTTTAGCTCTAGCAATGCCTCTATAGCATCAAAAAAGCACCAATAACTTTGTTAGGAAGTCTTAGATAAATCCATCCTACCTTGCCAATAATGTCCAGCGTGTCTTTACCACGGATAAGTGTAGTCAGAGTGCTGGAGGATCCCAGGATTCATTGCTGAGTACAAATAAAAGCAAAGACCTGTCAGAGGGCCCCTTCTCTTTTAACATCCCCTTCTCAGTTGCTGCCTGAACTGGGACTTGGGAGGGCTGGTCCTGCCCCACATTGTACCACGGACCTGCCGGGGACGCTGGCCAGGCTGTTTGCCTTTTCCGTGTCGGTTTTCCCACTGGTCTCTGTGTTATTCCAAGGCAGGGATTAATCTGCTGAGTGCTGAGGTACCACTGAGCACAATTGGAGCTAGCAACGGTTTGTGTTCAGCCTCTCATTCATGACTTGTCCAGCCCTCTAAGAGGACATGTGGTGTTAACACCTAACAGTGCTGTGATAGTATCATTTGTGGCCTTACCACGGTTGTTTAACATTTTGTTTTGTCTTTTTGTACCTGTAAAATAGGATTAATGCTTATTCACCTCAGGGTAGACAATACAAGGCCCAGTTTCTATGGCCTTGTGAGAATTAAAGGGATTTTTCTAGATCCATTGATGCCATATGGAGAGTGCCATAGGCAAGAGTTCTGGGTAACTCGTGGAAATGAGAGCTGAACTGTCTTAAGCTTAAGAGAAATGAAGAGTGCTTTTTTCCTTCCCCTAATAACAATCCTCTTTCAAATAGTAGTTCAAATAATATGTATTTTGTTTTGTTAGCTATGTTTCATTTATATGAGGCCTCTATTAACCCCCCTATATTCATCTCAAGCATAATGCAGGCCAAAGTGTCAAGTATTTTCTGCTGCAGAGCATGCAGCTGAACTAGAACAAATCTCTTCAAATAAGGATTCAAAAAGTGATAAAGAATTTACCTGTCCCTCAGCAAAGTGTTTTCCAGCGCAGTCTAATGGTGAACTTAAACTTGAGTGTGAAAAACAATGGCATTTCATTTGGGATTCTTTACTAGACTGGATGATTAAAAAAAAAAAAAAAAAAAAACTATGTTCTTTATTATTCTAATCAAATGTAGGTGACTTTGAGTACGGTTCCTGCTGCAAATCGGTAATGAAGCAGTTTTACTGTGAAGGCGCTATGTAGCACGCTGAGAGCACTCATCCCGCAGCACAGAAGGCTTTTGTCGCTTGTATTTTCACTTGTCTGTTTGCACGCTTTAAATAAATCCTGTATTCGGTGTATGACTTGGAGATTTTTTTTCTCCCTTCTTCAAATGGCCGGATACCAGTTAACTTTTCCCTGGAGGCCATGGATCAGGGAAGCAGCTCTCGGCTCAGTCGCTGCGTGGGGCGGCCCACGTGGGCACGCTCCCGTTTTGAAGGTGCGTGGGGGCGGATGAGCCCTGCGTCCCTGTGGCTTCACCCCACGTTCCTGTGGCTTCACCCCGCTGCCGCCATGAGGGTCCCTGGAGGCCTCTGCTGCTGCAGCCGCCATGTTGGCGCTGCCGCACGCGCTCCATGTTGGCGCTGCCGCACGCGCTGCGAGGGGACACAGCGGCCAGGGGACCGCTGCCCGTGCACCTCGAGGGGACTGTGCGAGCACGGGGCAGCTGGGCCTCCTGCAAGGATGGGAGGACAACGTGTCTCCTCACAGCGATCCCACCGCACGGCACAGGCAGCAAGGTGACGGTTCAGCCATCGCTGTCCTCTGCCTGGCCCAGCTGAGGGAGGGGACGGGGGCCTGTGCTCCCCGTGAGGCGCCCTGTGAGGCACCAAGGCGGGCAGCTCCCCGGGGCTGGCACCGCCCTTTCCCGCCCCGGGTGCGAGGTGCCCGGGCAGCGGCCCCGGCGCGGCAGCCTCGCTGAGGCGCCACCACACGGCGCCCGCCTCGCCCTCCGCACGGACTCCATTTCCCAGCGCGCTCTGCGCGGCTGTCCCTGGGGACTCCATTTCCCGGCGCACCCCGCGCTCCGCCTTCCCTGGCCGCTCCGGGGCGCGCCCCCTCCGCCGCCGCCCGCACTACGTTTCCCACCTGGCAGCGCGGCTCCCCCTCGCCGGGACTACGTTTCCCGGCGTGCCCCGCGCAGCGGCGTCCAGGGTGGCCGGCGGCCGCGCTGCCGCGGGGCACGCAGGGAGCCGTAGTCCTCCGGCGGCGTGCGCGCGCCGCCGGGCGGGCCGGGGCGTGTCCTGGGGGGTATATAGCCCGCCGGAGGGGTAGGGGTCTGCACTCTGCCGCCGCCGCCCCTGTCTCCAGCAGCTTCTATGCAATCTCCGGCTGCCGCCGCTCCGCCCTGCGTCGAGCCCGCGCCGGCCTCCACAGTTAGGTAGGCCTGGGACTGGGGCCGGCCGTGGCGCGGCGTGTGCGTGTCTGTAGAGGAAGGGGGGAGGGGGCTGCCCTGGGGCCGCGAGGAGGAGAGG